CACCTTAAACGGCGCTCAAGAACAAGAAATCCAATTCCAAGAAAAGAGGAAGACGAAAATACAATGTCCACCACCGACCACCGCACCCGCCCCCACCGACCACCCAGTCCCTCCCATTCTCGCTCGCGCTCGCGCTCCCCAGACCGAGACCGATCAGCCAGACACTCCGACCCCAAACGACACCATCACCACCACCATCATAACCACCGTCGCCACCACCGACATCATGATCACGACCGTGACGAGGAGCGCCGCCGTCGTCACCCCCGACACAGTCACCGCTCCCACCGACGAGAAGATCCGCAGCCACAACCGGAACCGCAACCGCAACCCGTGATCCTCCCCTTCCAGGCCAGAGAGCTCTCAAGGCGCCATCTGCACCACTATGAGCCCTTGTTCGCCATGTACCTCGATATCCAGAAGGGGATAATACTCGAGGATTTAGAAGACGAGGAAGTCAAAGGGCGGTGGAAGAGCTTTGTTGGGAAATGGTATTTCTTCATCCCATCCGTCCCCCACCTCCCCCAAGGAAAAGAGGAAGCAAAAGAGAGAAGACAAATCTAACATATCAGGAACCGCGGAGAACTCGCCGAAGGATGGTACGACCCTGCCATGCTGGACAGGGCGAGGAAGAGCGCGCAGGAGAACCCTCCCCCCCTCTCTTCCTCTAATCGTCCTCCGCCCGCTTCGCGCAACTCGCCTGATTACAACCGCGGTGTCTCAGAAGGTGGTGCAGGCCCCCAGTCAGAAGGGAACAGAATCGGCGAAGACGAAGGAGATGACAACGATGACGACGACGAAGACTACGGCCCTAGTTTACCGCGCTTTGATCCTCGGTCGCGCGGTGGCCCGTCTTCTGGCCCGACTATCCCCACGATGCAGGACCTGGATTTGCGGAAGGGTACGTCACTCATTTACTTCCATCCTCCCTTTCTTCGACCCCGTCGTACGATGATATCGGGGATTGCACAATTACAGTAACCAACTAACATAATTGAATCAGAATCCGCCCGCGAAGACGCCCTAGAAGCACGCCACGACTGGCGCAAAGAACAGCGCGCAGAGAAGCAATCCCACCGCGCCGAAATGCGCCACATCCAAGACGAAGTGGCCCCGCGCGCAGAACCGGGAACGCACGAGCGACGGATGGAGAAGCGGGCGGAGAACGCCGCGGCAAATCGTTCTTTCGCGGAGGGCCGAAGGGGTGGCTCTCCGACGGAGGGGATGCCGGATGATGAGTTGATGGGGTCCGGGGAGAATGAGCTGACGGCTATTAGGAAGGATAGGGAGAGGGAGCAGCGGAAGAAGAATGATCGGGAGATTCGGCGGGAGGAGATTATGCGTGCGCGGGCGGCGGAGCGAGAGGAGAGGGTTCAGCAGTATCGGGAGAAGGAGGAGGAGACAATTGGGTGGTTGAAGACGCTGGCAAAGCAGCGGTTTGGTTGAGTTTGGCGGGGCGCATCTATTGGGTTACTGAATATCCGAATCATCGCCATTTCCGCCATATATACCCTCAAGACGTTACTATTACTTTTTGCACCGTGGCTAGGTGTCTTGGAATATGCTCAATAAGATGAAGGATGTTCTGATTTCATGCTCTATAGATATTAAATTAAGGGTTACCTTGGATGAAGCTGCCAATACTCGCCTCCATCTCTGCACAGACCAATCCACACGTACACCTGGGCTCCTGATAATGGTACTGATTGAACCTCTTTCCAATCGGTTGTCCATATCCTTTCGTCAAGTTTCTCTTGCTAAAAAGGGAACGAATTCCGGTGCATCGGGCCTCCATATACCTCTTCCTGTCATTGACTTCTTTGGGTTATGTCCAGCCGGATTGTTCTCATGACGATCTAGGGTCTTGTCCCTTTGTGTGGGCTTGTGGTTTTTGAGTTGTGATCTGACCGTTTCTCCCACTGATAGGCTTTCGAGTGATTTGACACCTTCATCTCCATAAGGCGCTATCTTAATTGGATATGGATGTTTCTTGTGAGAAGTTGGACGTTTCCCTCCTACTCCTCGTGACCAAAGAGAGTGGTAATGGCCACCTATTGACATCAAGGAAGCGTGAGTACCTTGTTCGACCACTCTTCCATGGCGAAGAACCAAGATGTGATCTGCATGAGCGATGGTCGACGGTCGATTTCTAGTAAAATATGTCAGCTGCAATGAATCGAACGGCGGATTGCGCGCAATACTTACGATATTATTAGTACAGTTCGACCGGGGAATAATGATTTAATATTGCGCAGAATCCTAGATTCTGTCCTGCTGTCGACATTGCTCGTTGGTTCGTCCAAAATGGCTATCTTGCCAGCGTTGACAATAACGCGTGCTATGGCAAGCCGCTGAAGCTCACCGGTGGAGAGTCGAACTCCTCCCTCGCCCATTATCGTCTTGTAGCCATTTTTTAGCGAGCTGATCAAGCCATGCAGGCCAACAGCGCTGCACGCCTTGTAGATTTCCTCGTTTTGAATGGAATTATTCGCATATTTGACGTTGTCCATGATGGTGTCATGGAACCAAATCTCTTCCTGTGGCGCTACCCCAATGTTGGCCCTTAGGCTTTCCACAGTTACCTGCTGGATATCCTGCCCGTCAATCAAGATCTTCCCATACGTCGAGTCGTAAATGCGTAAAAGAAGCTTCAATGTTGATGATTTGCCACTTCCTGACTCCCCCACCAGAGCTACAGTCTGACCAGAATGCACCTTGAAATCAAGTCCGCTGAGAAGTTCTTTCAGTCCGCAGTGACCGAAAGAAACATCTTTGAATTCAACAATACCTTGGTCGACAACTAAGGTTTTGGCATCCACCTCGTCTTGAAACCCGGGCGCCTGGTTCAAGTTCCCTATGAGGCAATGAGTACTGCGAAACGATGTAACGAAGGTGCGGACTGCAGTTGGAAGGAACTGCAGCTGGCTAGGAACCCGGAACCAGACGAAAATCAACATGACGAGCATTCCGGTGGACATCCTGTGAATATTAAATTGATATAGGGCCCAAAGACAACAGCCCACGAGGCCCGAAGCCAGCAGACATGAATGCATCACGGACTCGACTTTGAACCACAAAAGAAGACTAGAGCACGAATCCCATTGATCGTCAATGATGGAGTGGAATTCTGCCCTTTCGTTCTTGAATCGACCAGGAAAAAGTGAAAGTTTCCAACTCTTCATCGATGTGCGCATAAATAGTCGCTCGTGCGACAAAGTCTCAAGGAATCGTGTCTGGTTGCCAGAGATCCTACAGTGTATCATTGTTGAGGTAAACACCATCAGGCTGATGACCGTGAGATAGATCAGCCCTATATAGAAATCTGCCCAAAATGTCAAGCCGATTCCGGCACCTAGCTCGATCAGTGCCGGGAGGACATGGAAAAAGAATGACTGGATAGCAGTGTTGAGAGTGTGACTCAGGTGAAGGTCCTCCCGAAGCTGTTCAGGCTCACCAAATTCGTCAGGGCTCCTTGACTCCATTAAAGCCATATCGAAGAGGGACTTTCTAAACTTGGAATCGTAGAATTTTCCAAGTGGATGCCACATCCTTCTCCGGGCCAGTGAGACACCACCGCGCGAGTCCAAAAACCACAGGCCAGCCAGTTTTATCACTTGATTCCATACGACTGTGTCTATAAATGCCTTAGTGAGAATACAAGATAACGAATCAAGGGTACCACTGTACCTGGTGCTTGTAAATGGGCGTGGATAAGGCGTCCTAGTTGATATGGGACACATACAGCCAAGCCACACTCTATGTACAAACAAGCGATCACTCCGGCCCATAGTAGCTTCAATTTGTGTTTGTCCCGAGGCCAAAGAAAGGACCAAGAAGTCTAGCGTCCAATCAGTCTCTAGCCGACTTTTTGCGCAAATGGTACGGGCCACTCACTAGATTAATGAAGTTTCTAGGGTTTGCATTTTTTGATAGCCGTATCCTACTCTTCAAGTATCTCTTTCGGGCAGAAAAAAGTGTACCGTAATCGACGGTGCCACTACTTCCATATGAAGGCCCACCCTCACATGGTGCACTTTCGGTTAAGAATGGCAGTCTTTCCTCGTGTCGTTGCCATCCGAGAAGCACATATTGGAACCCACCAACAACACTCACAAGAAGAGCGAGCATACCAAAGCGGATATCATGAATGACAGCTATGATGGTCGCGAGCTCCTTCATTGAAGGCGAAGTCCGAGAGGTTGAGACGAATGACAGAATCTCCACCGACAGATACAGCGTTGGAATTCCTGTGAGACACGCGGACGGCAAATTTGCTGCTTCGAAGGGATCTCCTGTGAGATATAACCAAACGATTGCCGATGTGGTCGCATAAAACTGGCAAACCCAAGTAATGATTAACGTCAAGTACATATTACTTCCCTCGTGCTGAACGAGGATGGCACGGGATCATACAATACGGCCCATCGAAACCATTACTTCATTTTGCAACGAAAGATGGATGAGGAGGGCAGAATCCAAAATCTGAAACCGCATCAGCCACATGGTAAAAGCTTCATCGGGGTACATGATGGACATCATACAAACGTAACCAGCACGATTATTCTAATCCATACTGTGACTGCTTTGACGAATCTCTTGGAATAGCTATCGTAGTGTCTGCTGCGTGTTTGCGGTGGTATAAGTGGACCAATGGCGTAGTATATGCCAGTGGCAACCGGTAGGAGAAAATGGAGCACTAGGAGTGGATGGGAATCATCCTTGGTGACCAGCATCTTGGATACTATCGACACAATCAACTGATATATGACAAGGATCAAAATCAGAAGAGAAAAGAAGATGAGTCTTGGAAAAAGGAGCCAAGATGTGTGTAGTATGGAAGAAGGGGAGATCGGATGGTTTATCAGATTAGTCTCATGTGCGTATAGAAGACGGTCGCCCGATTTTGGGAAGGAACATAGCACAACTACTTTCAGAAGTCTCTCAGAAACAAAGGTCTAGTACTTTAGGAAGGAATGACCAGTGAGGTCAATATTGATTGTCTTGTATACAGCAAGTCTAATTCAACTTGAAAAGCAGTACTTTTATATGCCACCAGAGGACCTCTCTATCCAGCCCTATCCAAACATCCAACTCCCATGTATGCCAACATTGTAACCTCAAGCCCAGAACTTTTGAACTCCACTAGCCGTGCCTTCGTTTTTTGAGACCTAGATTTTCCTCCCCAGGTCCACATCGGCAACCAGTCTCATGTTTTCGTTTCCATTCACCGCCGACTGTCCCAGGCCAAAGAACGGCTTGACGGCAACGTCGACCGTCTCTTCAAAAAGACGGCCCACGACGACCTCTTTGAGATCCTCTCCCGTTTGGCCGAAATCCGGGTACGCATTCACCTCGAGCAACCAGGCAGTGCCATTTTCGTCGACGAGGAAGTCTACCCCAAAGAGTTCGAACGCATTCGGAAGCGTCTGGAAATGAATCATCATACCCCTCGCAGCCCCTTCGAATAGCTCACCGGTCACGGCACAGATTTGATCGAAGATCTTCTCCTTCCAGTCATCGCTGAGCCCAGGAACCTGGGAGTCCAAGTCCCAGAAGCGTCGGACACTGCCCTCGTTGGAGCTCCCACCCTCTTGGAAGCAGGTGTTGGTGAGATGTCTTGCCAGGTCCTGCATCTCATCCTCTCCCTCCCATGGAGCACAGTATGATTTCGCCGCGAAAAGGGCCAGCATCTCCTTGAAGACGAAGACCTTGAGGGCACCGACGGCCAGAACGTAGGTCCGAATGTGAAATTTCCGATTCGATGACGACGGGAGAAGAAGCGGCGGGTCGATATACGGCTGGGCGATAAAGTGCCGCAGTTGGGACGTGACCACACCATGGTCATCATCCTCTTCCTGGTTCTCTTGTTCAGGAGCCCCCGATCCACTCTCATCGTCCGACTCATCGACCTCCCATTCTTCGAATATCTCCCGTAGCTGGTCTTCGCTGTTGAATATACGGATTCCCTGCCCGCGGTCACTCATTCCCGGTTTCAGGATCCACCATTCTTTCTCCTGTTCAGGTCTTTCCTCGTTCTTTTCTAGACTCTCTCGCAGCTCGTACAGCTCCAGCAGGGCGTCGTCAAGGAACTCCGCGTAGTCCAGCTCGAAATCCAATGCAGGCTTGATGTGCTTCTTCAAGATGCTTTCGGGGTGTTTCGTAATCCAGGTTGACACCGTGTTGGACAGGTAATGTTTGCGAATCAACGCCTTTCGGATGATGTAGGCGTTGGAAAGCGACGAGGGGCTGTGCATCATTATGTGTTCGAAATCCAGTCGCTCGTATTCTCGGTATTGGAAAACAGGCGTAGAAGGGGACGGTAGGTCTGACAACGACGGCACCAATCGACACGCTGTCCCAATGCGCCGTTGCAGTGCTCGTTCCATTAAGCTCTGGACATATGGATCGTCACTGTCCACGACAGAGTATAATGCAGGTTCTTCATTATCGGTTCTACATGATATATGCTATCAGAACACCGGCCTCTCAAAGAAACACAAACAAAGCAGCCGAAGGGGTAAACAGGAGTCAGAAACGCAGGGTGTATCATCTAGAATATGTATCTATGAAGGTTCGTGCAATCTGACGCTCCACAAGGGGCCATGTTGTCCCAACTTTGCTCGCCGGAAGTCCACTCACAGCTTAATTTCCCCTTGGATACCGGGTGTGTGCATGAAATTCGCCTTCAACGGGGTGACACTGCGAGGAGTTAGCCATACCATGTGGATCATACAAGCACCGTGTGGACCTACCTCGTCATCCCCTCCTTCACGACCCATCCGTCATTCCCAGGAGCACTTTCCTCAACGCTTCGATACACATCCGAGAAATTCGGCGACCACTGGAAGTGCTTATGCTCAATACGTGACTTGTTCGCGGGAGCCCGACGTGTAGAGCTCTCGGTCTCTGCCTTCCCTAGCTTCTCACCCTGAGCCCGTAACTCTTGCTCATGCAGATCAGGCGACTCTGTCATCCCCGGGGGCACAGCCTGGAAACAGCTACCGGAACTCCATCGGTTGTCGAGCATCGCAGTATACAAAACCTTGTTCTGGCTCACTCCTGGCTCCAAAGGCACGTTGACCGTGTAGAGATCAACGCCTTCCCTCCAGTTCTTCGATAGATGCTCAATCAATTTAACTGAATGGCGCGATGCCTCGGAGATCACGACGGGGTCGTGGTCGCGCGAGCTAAACGCGTAAGAGAGGGCCACCGCGCGCTTTCCGCAGCTCGCCGCTTCCATGGCGCCACCGATCGTTCCACTCGACAGAGCAAAAAGAGCTAAAATGTCATTAGCAAAGATTGTTTTATACCAACTGACCTCAAAGTGCGCCAGTGGGAGAAATGAGAGACCAACCTGTCGAGTTTCGTCCGTAGTTGGGGCCCGACACCACCATGTCAATGGGACCACGCTCCTGGAAGAAGTGGTACAGTCCGATTTGGACACAGCTGGCCGGAGTCGAGTCAATGAGAACCCACTCGTCACCCTCTTCGTCGTCCTCTCCATCTATATGCCCTCGAGGGAAGTCGTGGGTCGTCCCGTCATCCTTGTGAAGTGTTCCGGGGCGGAAGTACGTCGGTTTCACGGCGGCGCCGATCAGATGGGCTTTGCCAATCCACGACCTTTGTACATGTGGGAGAACGACCGAAACGACATGGCCGGCAGACTGGAGCGAATGGATGAGGGAGTGGACGTAAGGGGAGGACTGGTTCGACGGAGGACCGTCGTCGTTTGTGACCTAGGATTGTTACAGATGGATTGGTAAGAGGACACGACTATGTAGATTGTTGGGTTGCGCAATGTTATCTTGACTCACTAGGATATGCATTGTATGTGATTTTTCCGACAATTAGGTGGGAAAGGTGAACAGTACAAAGATAGAAGGGACTGAGAGAACCATCATAAACAGGTTAAGATCCGTCAAGTCGAGAGGGGCAGCGGAAGTTGGGCGGAGTTTTGCCCCGCCTTGGGGGTCCACCCTTAAACTACAATGGGAGACGGACAATACAATAGATCAAAAGATTCGTTCATTCTAGTACTTCCCTGCACTTGGGTATATCCCATTACGCCTAATATTCCAGTTATTAGGAAATTCAAAGAAAAAAAAAATCCAACACAATTAGGGATAAGAAACACAGTAAACTTGATCATCTCAGAGAGCGTAACTCCGCCGTCGCTGGAGTTCAGCCGCTATCGCTCTCTCCCTCTCCAACGCTGTTCCAGCGCCAGACGACCTTGATGGCCCTCCGCCCCGGCCGGTTGAAATTCGACGGTTGTGTCGAGTCCGCGAACTGGTCCAGCTGTTCCATTCATCTGCCCCATACTCGTCCTCTCGCTTGACCTCCTTCTCCGACTCATTACTTGGAGATTCCGAAGATGTGTCCTGCGGCGTGAGTATCTCATCCTTGGGTTCTTCCTTGATCGGTGTCTCTTCGCGGTCTTCTTGATCCTCTTCCTTGATCGAATCACCATACCATAGATTGTCATGATCAGGCAACGCAAATAGTAAAGTAGATACGATCAGCATACACAGCATGGACGTGTGCCAGAACAAGCCAGTGAAGACAACAAAAGATGTCAGTCTCCAATTGTACATAAGCCGCCTAGATCTCGGTCAGCCACGCCAGACTTTGTGGTGAAAAGGGTGGAGAGTTACCTTAGGCCAGTAAACCTCGCGCGGAATTGCAATTTAGCCGAATAGAACTGCATATCTTCCTTGCTCTCGATCTTCAAACACGCGCATCCCGGCAAATTGCGAGGCCCGCGCGCAAACTGAACTTGCTCCATCATGGGAACCTCCAGCTTCTCCACTTCACGTTTCCATCCTACCAGATAGAGTGGCATAAACGAAATCCGGCTGGCCGTATCCACCAAAGGCGAAGCGTACGTGAGGATACCAGGTCGACGGGACAGAGCAATAGAAGGCGCAGAGGTATCTATGCCCGATGAAACAGACCTAGGTGGACAGGAAAACAGGCGCAGGTCGAGCATGAAGTTCCCCGCAGCTATATTCGACGAAGTTCGCGGTAGCTCGAGTTGTAGAGTCACATCGTAGGATTGGAGCGAAACCAATCCTTGGTCCAGGCGCGCAGTTCCCCACGGGTGATCGTCGCTGTGAAATTTGCAATAAGAGAGCAGGGTCAGCCTAAAACATACCACAAAATATGGCAAGCGGTTTCTCAACTTACCCAAACTGCAAGTGTATGACACGCTCCAGGCCAACCTGAGGGATGAGCCTATAATAAAAAATCACATATGCGACAACCGACACGAAAGCCAGACATATGCCAGCTACGAACATGAATAAGGTTCCGGTGTAGGCCTTTTGTGCCTTCTGGGAAACAAAGGGGTGGGCCATTGCTGCTATCGCGGCCTGCCATCGTTCCTGTTAGCGGTCTAGCTTCAGTGGGAGTTTGCGCAAGCGACTAATTACCGAGACACGAGAATACCAAGGGGCGTCCCTTTCTTTTTCGACGTCGTCGTCTGTCGTATATCCAGTATCCATGGTGCCGAAACAGTAGGTCTGTGTACGGTTGGTGTGGGATGGGTTTAAGTACCTACCTGACCCGAAGCTTTGGTGATTCCGCCCATGAGCGCGCGTCGACGTCACCGGCGCTACTCGCGTCGGAGCCTCGGCCCCAAGCAAATCAGGAACAAAATAATAGACTCCAACAATCAGCCACCGAACAACCTCAGTGGTGCGGACCTTGATATCCTTCAAAAATGTTACACATTGACAGTAGTGCGTGATTTCATCGAATTCCCTTTTGTTTTGCACGTAAGAATTACCTCTACAACTATTATGGTTCATTCGGTAAAGCTGGCACAAAACATACGTAGGACTGCAACATTATATACTACTCTAGAGATGCCCCATTGAGATACAGGAGCGAAAACAACCAATTATGATAAAGATGAGGAAAAGGATATAGGTTTAATGCATCTTGAAAAGCCGTGATGACATATGCCCTAATATGCATGTCCGTCCCAGAAACCCAACCAAGAAAGAACTAATGATAGTAAAGCAGAACTTCGCACAAACCAAGGTAACATAGAAAATCGAAGGACAATAAAATAAGAAAAAAAGGAAAACAAAGCATTTTCAAATCGTACACCCCAGCAAAGCCCCATATTTTTGGTGCTACATGTCATAAACGGTTTCCACAAAAACACCGTGAGAGAATCCACCTTTGCCAAATGCAATACGTCATGGCATGATTGAAGAATTCATATCGAGAGGAGAGAATACGGAAAGAATGGGCCTTGATGCCCTAAGACAATGCCCTAGGACTCTGCTGCTGAATATGTTGCAGGAGAGCATCGAATAGACGGCCGATCTGGGAGATGTTAGTAGAGCTTTGAGAACCGGGTTACTAGGTGACTTACCTCAGGCGCAGCCTGGATAAAAGGAAGATGGAAGAAGGTGTAGCTCCGGTTCTGGAGGAGTTCCTGCAGGGTAATAATCAACCCCCATGGGTGAGGGCGATGGACAATGAGTCGCTCCAGCAGCACGCGAATGATTTGCTGCCTGATGTCAGACTCGTCGTGCTCAGAGTAATCGGCACCGAACAAGCGCAGAATGGCAAAGCTGAAGAAGTAGGTGTGGCTGTTGGGGTAGCGCAGCTGATTTGCCATCGCACTCAGCAAATAGTAACGCGCCTCAGGTCGGAATGCCTTGGCTAATCGCTCTAGCAGGGCCGAGTGGGGAGAGTTGTCGAATGCTGCGCGAGTGTTGCCCTTGGATGTGCTGGAGACAGCGCCTTGGCCAATGTAGAGGACAAGGGCATTAAGCAGCACAACATTGACATTGATGGGTGTGTAGAAAAGACCAGTCTCCTTTTCTACGGGATTGTACACAGCATCGCAAATGAGCTGGAGGTTTGCCTCGGATGCGCCGTTGCTTTGCAAAGAAGCATCGACAGCATTCTTGATGTTGGCGCGTTGCAACGGAACAGCGGTATCGCCCGCAATTCGTGGAGCTTCCCGCATTTCCTCTAGACGTTCGACTTTCAGGCCCTCCCTGAACGGGTCAGGAAGCTTGTGGAACGATGACGGGTAAGCACTAAGGACGAGGTTCCGCAGTTGAGCACAGTGAGCAGGGATCATGTTGCAGAACTGAAAGTGATTTTCCGCCACGAATTCCGGGAAATCGTGATGTAAAATCAACAAGATGCGCAGCACACCCTTGTAGAGATCCTTAACGACGTAAGAAATGGTTGCCGGCTTGAGTTGTTCCCCAATATATGCAAGAAGAGCTTGCATCAGCTCACAGTACGGACTCCAGCCCGCCCGGTCGGGCATATTCAGCATCCCCGACATGAAAAATCGGTGAGAGACCAAAGAAAGCCACCCATACACGAAGGCAGGACAATACTTGGGCTGGAGAGACAAGAACTTGCTGGCCAGGGCGAACATCATCGCCTGGTGCTGCTCGCTGTTTTGAAGGCCGTTGAGCGAGTATTCGCAGAGGATGCTGGAGAATAGCCTGAAGAAGACACGCTGGTTGAAAGCCTCCCCCCTCATAGTATGATGGTGGTTCAGAACAAGAACCAGCAGTGAGAGAATAGAATTGAAATATTCAGACTTGTTGGTCTTGGCTGATTCCGTGCTCTCAGTCTGGAATTTGACCAGCAGGATGACCAGCTTGGCGAGGGCATCAACGTGAAGGAACGCTTCATCAAGACTGCCACTCGGGCTCTGCTCGAACCACAAGACTGAAATGTCGATGCTGAGACGGAAGAACAGAGCGGAATCTTCCTGGTTGTCCATAACATGCCTCTGGTGCAAATCTTTGAGGAAAGAATAATAAGTGCGCTCAGAAGCACTAGGAGCTTTGTAGATTCCAATCCACTCGCTGAAAATGTATTCCATCTGGTCCCGCTTGGACTTGGCCTTGTCACTGAGGAGAGCGTTGACCACTTCAGGAACTCCGGATTCTCGTAGCTTGCGGATTATGTCATTGGCAGGCGAGAGGGCTGGTTCTTCGGAAAGCCATTGGCTCATGGCTTCGAGGCTCCCAGAAAAGTCCGACCTTAAAGCGGATGGCTCGTCGTTGAACAAGACACGGTCCATCAAACTAGCAAGCACTTCCAAAGCACCGGCGTTCTTCTGGAGGATTAACCTTGTGAGTACCATATCCACACGGCGGATATCCAGAAGGCCAGAGTCTATTAGGGAAACAGTAACTGGAACGTTGAACATATGCTCATCGTCGACTTCAGAGAGCATGGCCCAAGTGTACCGGGCGATGATAGTAGACAAGTCGCACAGCTTGGCGATCAGATGTACAAGGACTTGGATCTCCAATGCGCCGAGACTTTGTGAATACAGGGCTTGACACACGCTGTAGCAAGTCAGTCTAGCCAATTCTTCACCATTTGGTGCGCTGAGGATGTTGCGTAGTGCCCGGTTGTACTCCAATAGTACTGGGCTATCAATGGCGAGATCCTTGACCCGCTCCTCGGAAGCGCCCCGTGCCGTTTGCAGGAGTTCAGAGACAATGCTTTCTGCCTTCTCCCGTGGTGTTTGGGCCTCAAAGAGACCATTGAGTTGAGACTGCGCACTGACAAGCCCCGACTGCTGGAGAGGAGCCTCTTGCTGCGGTTGTGGCGTCCTATGCGGCACAGCTGGCTGCTCTGCGGGAGTAGAGAGATTCGGAATGGCAGGGAACGATTCTTGAAGAACGTCTGGAAGTTGTCGGCCATTGTCGGTGGAGACATTTTGAATGTGTGCTGCCCCAGGACCCCGAGACTGGCGGGCAAACTCTTCGTAGATGGCCAGCTGCTCCTTGTTGAGACCGCCAGGGGCTTGGCGATAGGGCTCTGGAATGAACAGTCCCCACCGGCTCATGGATGGGTCGATGAACGGTTCATTAGGCCGGGCCACACGATGGCGGCGACGAGATTCTAGCTGGGGCTCAATGACCTTTTCAATCTCGGGAAGGGATTTCTCTTCCGCTGCCTTCTCAACGATGCCGCAAGCGGCATCAAGGTTGTCATTGACGCACATGAGAATCAGACCTTCAGGCATAGGCTGTTCCGAAAATTCCTGCTGGATCATTCGAATGTAGTTTGTCATGCTGACTTTCAGGGGCTCCTTGCAAGTGACAAGAGCAAGACTGCCTGCAAGCTGTCGCACCATGATGCCAGCCGCATGCCGAACCTTCTCCTCGTCGGGTTCCATGGCGAAGTCCTTGGACACCAACTGAACGGTCGAGATTGAGGCAATCGTGACGGAACGTTCCACAACCGGGGTAATAATCTCCGCGATGGCACGCTCCACGGCACTGTGGACGATCTGGCGGAGGACATTCGCATCACCCATCGTGCTCGCAGATGATGGCAAGACAAGGATCTTGTCCAAGCTGGGAAGAGTCGACATGATAGCAGCCGGTGACAATCTTTCGTGACGAATGCCTTGATTGATATTAGTCAGGGCCATGTCCTCAAACGCCTCTAAGCCCTCAGGAATATTGGCAGTTGACAATGCATCCTCGATGTGTGCCGAGCGGTCTCTGATGATGACAGAAGGTTCGATGGTCTTGTGATCAAGATCCAAGTCTTTGCACAAGACTTCGATCTCAAATTTCAGGTTGAGCTTCAGTTCCGCAAAGTGATAAAGCTCCATTAACAGGGAAATTATGTCCATCAACCAAGGATTCGGAGGGGTGAAGACAGTAGACTTGGTAGCCTGGACCAACACTTTGCATGTAAATGGGATCACGATCGTCAAGCGTTGGCTGTCGAATCCCTCCAAGAGAAGTCCCTTAAAGTAGACATCTTTGTGTTTAATCGGCTTGTCCTTTGCTATTGTTAAGGATCCAAGCCACAATCCAAGGTTTTTCAAATGACCCCGATCGGTCGAGGAATTTAGTGTCGCCTCCGAGTTCATCAACTTGGCGACGCTGACATAGGTCTCTCTGAGGACTTCAGCCCACAGAATCCTATCGTTGATGCGGTCCAGAAGTTCAAGATACAGCTGCTGGAAATTCGGCTGGAGCTTGGCCCTCTCTTCAACCAGGTACGACGCGAACCACTGATGATGCTGGTCCCGCAGAACATCTGTCAGGTCACGTAGCTTCTCCTCTATGTTTTGTTCCGACACATTGTTTAACACAAACAAAATCTTGTCCTGCACGTCCTCGTCCGGCTCGTGGTAGATATCGGGGCGAAGAGGAGGATCGACATGGATAGAGATAAACTTGCGGCTGGAGCCGTCAGACGTGGTAGCTTCGTCAACGTTTCCATTGGGCACGGTCACATTATCAACGCGGCCCATCTCGGAATCTCCCACTTGAGTTCCTTGATCGCGAAGCACTTCTTCGGCTCGTTGAAAGATGGGTGTACCTTGGAGGCTCGGTATTTGGAGGAGAAGATGACAAAACCCTGCCCACTCGGGCAGACGATCGATCAACTGTTCAATGGCTTCCACGCCAAAGTTGTACATCGGGTTGTGCACTTCGTGTTCTCGAACCGCCTCTAGAATCATGCCCAAACCAACCTTCAGCGTAATGCCATCGACAAGGCGGAAGTTGATGATTCCACCGAACATGACGGCTGTTCTGGTCAAAGCTTCCAAGGGATATTCGTTGTAGCAATGGTATTCGTCGATAAGGCCGTGGACCATGCACGCAAACAGATCTTGTTCAAAAGGCTCGCGTGAGGTTTTATACTGCCTCATCAGTTGGAGAATTTCTCGCAAAGACAACTCGTTGTGGTACATCTGGCCAAAAAGCTCCTGCATCCGCCTGTCGACGGCTTCAGGCAGGGTGTTCCCATTTTCGCCGTTGGCATCGATAATGTCGTCGAAGCCTTCCCCATAGTTGATCAATCGAGGGTAAGTTTGAATGCAGATGCGCTGCACCGGAGTAAGGTTTTCACGGTCGCCGACGTATTCCTCCAGTACCGACAGCAAAGTATATACTGTCTTCACCGAGAGGCTAACCATCTGTGGGGCAGACTGTTCTTTTCTCTGAACATGAAGCTCGTCTTCCGCTTTGATCCTCAAAAACCTGGACAATAAACTTCCCATGTCCATGGGTCCCTTCTGGGCGGCGTTGCGGACCCATTGCTCCAAGTCAAACGTCCCTTTACGATGTGCGAAGCAAGCTAAGTCCATTGCGAGGCCGTTCGTATAGCCGAGAAGGTAATCAAGCCAGTTGTATTCCACCGCATGCTCGTATATAGCGGCCGTCGAAGTCGGATCCTGGGTGAACATGGTGAAAAGTTGCTCCGCAACCCACTGCCGGTCTTGGTGCCACGCCCCATGAAGAGCGAGCTGATAACCCTCCTCTTGCTTCAAGATGAAGACGATGAGCGTCCGAAGCACAAAACTCTGCTGCACACTAGTCCATGGTTGAGGAAGGGCCAGCGCCGAGCACAAGAAGACCGGAAGATCAAATTGAACGACTGCCTTGATGAGCAGCTGACTCTCGGTCGCAGCCCATGCAGCCTGTGAGAACAGCGCCAAGTCGAATATAGCTCTCATGGCATCCAGAGACCGAAGAGGGGATTTCAACGCGCGCTCCCCCTGCAGACGCACGAGTTCTGGACCGTCTGCGAAGAAATCCGGCGGGAATGTAGCTCGAAGATTAGGGATCTGCGACACATCTGTCCGCGAGACGATGAAAGCGGTCAAGAAAGACAGCTGGGTGTCACGATGCTCCCAGTCACCACCCCAAAGCTTCTGGATATCTAGACTGGAGTCTGCTGCCGCAACAGTGGCCAAGGCAGTGTACAATTTAAGGAACTGCTTGGCATCCAGCCTCAGACCCTCGCGATCAAAGTTTCTGAAAACAAGCGGCCAGCTAATGCGGCTGTCGCCATAGTGCGACTGGACAGCCTCCAGGAAGGTCTCCAGGGAGAAATCTTGCGAGTACTGAGAGAGTATCAGGAACAATAATGCACTGGCTATATGTTCCTCCCCCCAGCATTCAGAGCCGGACGCATTGATAGTATCGTTCACGGCGTCGACACTCGACGTTGCTTTTGGCCCTCTGGAGTGGAGCTGACGGACGAGCGTGTATCTCGGACTGAGAAAATTAAACATCTGCAATGCCGCCGCAATTTCGAATGGTACGTCTACTCCCAGTTTTTGGTAGCGTACATTAGCCGCATACACCAGCTTAGCTTTCACGTCGTCGCTGAAGTTGCGAGGGGGGTAAAGGATGAAGCGTTCGATCGTGAATGCGATGAAGGAATCCTTGAAATCCTTGGCTACATCCGACGGGTGTGCCAGGCTTTGTAGGAATGGAGTGGTTGAGTTCGACAAGATCGCATCGGCTATGGAAACAAAATCCGTCAGGAAACAAAGTTAATCGAGAATAACCTGTCGAAGAGATGCTCACCTTTTGCACGCAAATCCGATTTGTTAGCGGTCTTAAAGGCTAGTGCAAGAGCGACTTTCACCAAGGGATCCAACTTGAAGTGGTCCAAGAACGTCGACAGATCGAAGTCGCGGAAAATGTCGCCCTCCGAGGTATCGACAGTCTCCGCAATCTTCTGGGACTGTTCTATATCCTGAGGCACCTTTTGTATCTCCTGGACTAGGAGAGGGTAGTTCCCGGCATTTTCGACCGACTTGTTGACTCCTGGGAAAATCTGCGGGGCATTGCCCGTTAAGAGGCGTCGGAAATACTTGGAAAACACTTCCATGCCGTTGGACTCGACCAGCTGCAAAATGTTAAAAGGGTCGCCGTGGTAGAAGTGAGGAAGGGGGGGAGGAGAGAGATGGCCCTACCTTGTGAATCTGAGCGGCTTTTGTCTCCCACTTTTCTCGCCCCTCTTTCTCGGTGATTGAGTCCAGAAGAAGGAACACCTGAGCGATCGATATCTTTGTCAAAGATGACTGGCTTGCGTGAGCTGCGGCGCCAGAGGCTGCAGAGCCCGGCTTGTCGGAAGGAAAGCCCGTGGGCGAATTCACGGTTGATAGTAACGGAGAAAAGGTAGCGCCTCTGGAAGATCCCGTCCCACCTCCGCCTCCCCCGGTGCCTCCACCGCCCGCTGAACTCGCTGCGGAAGCCAGATGTGACCCTGCCGATGGGGTATGGGCGCGAAACTTGGGGGAAGAGAGAGATTGGCTGGATTGCTGCTGATGCTGTTGCGAGCCAGATTGGAAGGAGGTGAAAGGCGACGGTGTGGAGGCTGGCGAGGGTGCGTTCCGGCCGGCGGGGTGACTCCGTGCGGAACTCAGAACGGCAGAGAAGGACGAGGTCAAAGGAGATGCCGTCGAGCCACCGGGACCAGGACTACTGGACTGGGGTGGCCCTCGCGAAGAAAGGATGGACGATGACGCGAGGTTGTTGGTCGCAAGCGGAGTCAACCCACGGCGGACGCTCGACTGGGACGCGGACGAACCCCAAGCTGATTGCTGTGACCTTCCAGGTCTGGTCGAAGAAGATTTATCGGTGCCAGAAGCAATCGACGATTGGGAGGAAGGAGGAGGGGGAGGGAAGGTCATCTAGGAGACGCGATCATTTGATCTGAAGGCGAGCGACAAATTTTTTTTCTGTGACGACTGTAAACCAAAATCAAGACCTCAATAAGACAGCTGAATTGATTTATTTTGGAAAAATGATGGGCTTTGCGGTGGCAGAGCGAGAGATGGATGACAATGAAAACGAGTATTGCTTCGTGGCACAGGATGGGAAGTGTGAAAGCGAAGTTGAGGGAGAGTTAGTAGTGGACGGGTTAGGTGGAGCCCGGATGCCTGAGGTACCAACTACACTAGCTACCTTCGTCCACAGCTCTCTCTTTCCTCTACTTTAGGGCTTATAACTTGCTCCAGGAAACATAAATCTTGGTGATATTATAATCATCCGGCTACAATGTACTTTTGGGAAAAAAGGTCTATATTACAACAAAACGATTCTAGGCCTTCGACACAAATGGCACAATTACCAGTACATGGAATCAGTCCCGGCTTTTTCCTCTGCCTTTGACGGGCTGCTTCGGGCAGTTTCACGTGATACACTCGACCGGGATTGTGATTAGATAATGTATTAGTCAACTCTCCCATCTCATGGTTTGGTTTGATTACTCGGGGGGGAAGACTGCCTGGAATTCATCCCATGTTGTCGCTGGGATGATTCAGACCGACCAGTAAGGGGGTTAAGACATATTCATGGGCTATGTTCCTGACTCCTGTCGTTGCAATTGACCTCGTGGATGCAACTATACTCACTAGTAGGTCTTTATTGCGTCAACAGCGACGACATCCTCCCAAAGCTGGGCCATCGATAGCTCAACATTGTTGTTCGCTCTAAGATGATCCACAGAAAACACCTCTCAAATGATGCATAGTTTCGGAATAAGGAAGTGGTTTGAGGAGAAAAGAGAAGGGCAGTGGATGATATCATTGTGATTGCAAACTACGTGAGAAACAATATCACAGGGTCCAATCTGGTATGAACTGGTTTCGAAGCGCTCGAATCGAAGTGGGGGACCATCCAGCGCTAGTCTACAGATCAAAGCCTCCAAAGAAGGAATAAAACCAGACGGGTAATTGCACAACTAGACTGGCCACGCAGATCCAAGGCACGAGTCCAGCTGTCGTGTTTGGGGATGGTGGGCGGCATGACTTGGCATCGGTGATGCGCCCACCGTTGCCCCGAGAAACGCGCCGCTGTAAACATCAACGACCTGTTCATTCCAGATCCAAGCTTACCTTGGGCTGGCTACTCCACCCAGATCCATTCATCTTGAGCGATCTTCCTGCTCTTTTTACTTATCTTATTTACTTCTCTTGTTTGCAACTCGAGGGTTTTGTCTTGACTGCGTGGGACACATTGGAGTATTGGCTCCCTGTTCTACAGCTTATCACCAGGAAGTCTCAAACTTCTTCTTATGTTAATCATTTTTGAGCAGATCTCACTGCATTTGCTGTTCTTTTGCTCTTCCTTCCATCAGTCTATATCGTAATCATATGAGCAAAGGCTGGCCGAAGCTCATAACAATCTTCAGCATATAACATACAAAATGCCGGGAACAGTGGCGGAGGGACCCACGGTCTCCATGTCCTGTACGTGCTATTTTCCGGATATTTATTGCATGAGCTGCACAGGATAACTAACTTTGCCAACTTAGTTGCCAACAACTTCTGGGGCAAAGACGACGCTGGCTTTGTGCCTATGCTGGAGCGGATGCATAGTGCGAAGTCCTCGTGCGACGAGCTAAAAACTTTCTACAACAGTGCGTCGTTGTCATCCAAACTACTAGTCAACCCTGGCAGACAAATCTGACTGGAATATAGTTCGGGCTGCCATTGAAGATGAATATGCACGAAAGCTCATGGCCCTTTGTCGGAAATCTCTTGGGGTAAACGAGACGGGCTCACTGCGCTCTTCATTCGATACGGTCCGTGGCGAGACGGAGGGCATTGCCAAAGCACATGCAGCCATTGCAGGACAAATGAGGAGGGAGCTAGAAGAGCCATTGGTTGCATTTGCTGGAGGTTCAAAAGAGAGAAGGAAAATCATTCAAAATGGAATCGAGCGTCTTCACAAGAATAAGGTGCAGCAGACCCAGGTGGTCAATAAGGTAAGGCGGATTTTTATTCAATCGAAGAGGAGCCATTTTGACAAAATCCAGACAAGGGATCGATTTGAACAGGACTGTTTGAGAATCAAGGGCTACCTGGCACAGGGGCACATGGTTATGGGCCACGAGGAGCGCAAAAACAAAGCAAAGCTCGAAAAAACCCAGATACAGCTTGCTTCTAGCAGCAACGAATACGAGGCCGCTGTCAAGATTCTCGAAGAAACCACAGTTCGTTGGAATAAGGAATGGAAAGCTGCGTGCGATGTGAGTCCGGGCCTGTCAGTAATGCATTGGCGAGAACCCAAAATGCTGACGGAAAACAGAAATTCCAAGACTTGGAGGAAGAGAGAATTGACTTCACTAAGAGTAGCCTTTGGACATATGCCAACATCGCATCAACGGTCTGCGTCAGTGACGATGCCGTAAGTCTCCAATCTTCCACCGCAAAAATCTTGTTGCTGACCACTCGCCAGTCCTGCGAGAAAATTCGGCTCTCATTGGAGAACTGTGAGGTAGAGAAAGACATCATGTATTTCATCAAGGAAAGGGGAACCGGACAGGACATCCCCGACCCCCCGAGGTTCATCAATTTCTGCCGTGGGGATGTGAATGACACGAGTTCAGAAGCATCCGAGGAGGACGGCTACTCCGTGGCTCAATTCCAGCGTACGATCAACCCAGCTTTCCGCAGTTCTTCTCCGCAGCCATCGACCTACGAATCACATCATGATCCCCAGCCTGATCCAGCGGTGATTAATAACTCTGAATCGCCGAAGGATACCCTGAATAGGGAGCCGACTGCCATGCAACAGCCCCCTAGGCAACCGCCTGCAATTCAGCAAGCTCCGATGCAGCAGCCTGCAATGCAGCAACCTACAGTGCAACAACCCACGATGCAGCAGCCTGCGAGACAACAACCTATAATGCAACAACCTGCGAGACAACAGCCCGCGAGGGCAGAGCCTACGATGCAGCAGTCTGCGATGCAGCAACCTGCACCGCTGGACCTACGCCGAGGCGGCCACCCTCCACCGAACTATGACCCGAATCAGCATGGGGAAATTTCGGCAGTGCCCCACAATGCGTACCCGACAGATGGAATGACTATGTTCTGCCGAACGGGGCCTCCCTCTGAGCGCAGTTCAGGCACGAACAGTGCATACAGGCCATCTAGTAGAGACTCGCAGAGTGAGGTGTCCAACCCTGCATCTGTGTCTAGCCAAGAGCCTCCCAGTGCGAGGCAATCTCCAACCAAACCCACCAATAGTGCTGCTCTTCGAGGATCTGCACAAGACACGCAGGTCCAGAAGAAACGGAGCACGTTCTTTAGTAATAGCCCCTTCCGACGCAAGAGTCGACATGACAAGGACCGTAATTCTGGTTCTTCCTCTCGCAACACCTGGGACTCGTCCTCCAAGCAGACCAGTCCGATCAAAGCACCGCAACCCAAACAAGCTCAGCGCCCTATATCTATTGCTCAAAAGAATCGTTTGTCCGGAAGTCCAGAGCCTGTCGATCCAAGAGCAAATTTCCAACTCAATGTCGGCAATAATGTGTTTGACGTTGCTTCCCCTGACGGGAGTTCTCCTAAGAAGGCGTCGCAGGCGAGCGACGGAAAGGGAGACGACCTTGATCCAATTGCGCGTGCTCTTGCTGACTTGAAAGGGGGCGGGAAGCAGTCTGCCAGTCGAGTATCTGCCGATAGGTACCACGGAATTGCTAGTCCAGCGCCCCCAGGTCCTGGTTCCAATTATGGCAACACCGCCTCCTCTTCTAATAATTCCACCACCAACGCCAATGCATCTATTGCTACCCCACCCCCGGCATACAACGAACCGCCTGTGAAACGGCTTGGTGCGCCACAGCCCGCTTTTACATCGGCGCAGATGCACAAGACGACACAGAAATACACCGGACAGACCCAGAATATGTTCAGAGGAACCGGGAACTCTCCGAGTATGGCTAGCAGGACCAGTGTACACTCTCAGGAGGTTCCCCGTGCCAAATCTCCTGCCCCGCGACGAAGTGCCAGCCCCCAAGTTGCCCCCCGTGTGGATACTCGCATGAGCCAGCACAGTCGAGGCCCGAGTCGGGGCCCCAGCCCCAGCCCCAGCCATTACCAATCCAGCAGTGTGAAGAGTCGCTACAGCCAGCATTCTCCGACTGTCTCCACGCCACCACAGCGGCCCAGCGATGCTGCCTACTCGCCTCGTTACGCGAACCGACCATCCTCAAGCGCCATGCCACGAGCCGTTTCACCCCAACCACAGTTCAGGCAGCAGGCACGCCCGTCAAGCTCGGGTGGCATGGAGCTCCAGCTTTCAGGACCGGCTGACCCATATGCAAGTGGCTACGACAGCTATAGTTCACGAAGGGATGGCCGCCCAGCATCGTACTATGGCGATAGTGGAAGCCAGAGAAGCCAGTCCAAGAGCAGAAGTATGGCTGTTGCTGACCCTGGCCAGCAATTCAGTCGGGATGGTCGTCCCATTTTACACTTTGGTAAGAAACCCCGATTTCCCCGGGTCTCACACGGAGTCATATTTACTGACATGTATCTTTAGCCCGGGCCTTGTATAACTATACTGCCGCCATTCCCGAAGAGCTCGGTTTCACCAAGGGCGAGGTTTTGTCAGTCATCCGACTTCAGGACGATGGCTGGTGGGAAGCTGAAATTACGACCGCTCGAAGCCGACCTGGACTGGTGCCGAGCAACTATTTGCAAATCATTTGATTTCGACAACGCCCACACCCGCTTCATGGATAACTGGCTACGTTTATACATCTCCTCTGCGGGATGTCCATGAAGCTGATACCCCTTGTGCCTTTGATTTTGCAACTTCTTAATATGTACATCCCTTCATACTAGCCAGTCGTGCGTTCTACCTCATCACTTCACCCCTTTAATTCTTCAACGACCCCCTACGTTTTGGTTTTGAATGTTTCGAGTACATTGAGTTATTTATCTTGCTGCACTTGATTCTTGATTTTGCTGATTTTGCAAGCCATGTTTATGAAGCCATGTCTTATTACCCTTTAAGAATGTCCCCTTATGGTTACCGTTTATGCTCTATTGCCTTGATAGTACTCCCTCTACAGCATCGTTAAATGGCAAAATAGTCTTATCCCCTCCTAATATTTTCTTCAACGACGAAGACTATCTTTCCAGAAGCTCCAGTAATACGATAATTTTTTTTTCAAAAAAAAACCCCCTTCACTGCCTCGTAGTCAACCTCGGTACTTCAACCTTTTGCGACAGTGAAGAAAAAGCCCAACATCACCTCCCCACTCCACCAAAACACCTCCTACCCACTTCACAGACAACGCCCAGTGATCAATCAATCCACACGCCCACACCCACCAACCATACACTTGAACCCCGCCGACGAAGCCAGCCCGCGCTCATCCGCCTCCACGCAATACGGCCCCGTACAAGCATCGTATCCCACCGTGGCAAGGCCCCCTTCGCCCTTTGTTGGATCCTCCTTCCCACCCACGGGCTTCTTGGTCCTGATGGGCAGAGATATCTTCACGGGCGTGAAAAGGGCGTGCATGTCTCCGCTGATGCGTGTGATAGGAGAGGAGGTAGTGTCGTTGAGGGGCGGGTGGTTCTCTTCCGCGAGGACTAGGAACGAGGTGGCTGGTGTGGAGGAATGGCTCTGCGTCCGGGCCGGAGATTGAGCTAGAGCTGGAGCTGAAGTAACTTGGGTTTTGGCTTTGGCTTGCTGTCTCTTTGCGTTATTGCAGGTTAGTGGGATGTGGTTATTGATATGGTTGCAGAGGTTGGCTTACGCGCTGGACGGGACACATTGTTGTTCTCTTGTCTTCTTTTCCTTCTTACTCTCGTTTTTGGAGTGAAGAGCGAGACTGCACCAGTCTTGGAGGAGGAGCAGATGATAGTAAAATAATGAAGATATTTGATGACAGTAAATAGAAGATGGATGAATGTGTTGCTTTTACAGGCCAGATGAACGGGGTGTTTGCTTGTTGTCTATATCCAGGCTCTGCTTGTTGATGGAGAGGATCTGGGAGGAGGAGAATGATTCAATGTTTGTCTTTCAGTAGAAGTATGCCCCATGCGCCCAGTGACTTGTTTTAAAGAAGATGGAAACAAATAGTATAGTGATATTAGCTTATACATTACCTAGGTCTAGGTATGGACAATGCCGAGCACCACGAAATGTGGATTATTTCCTTGTCATGATTGGCAGAGCATTGCTTGTCTGATGCCATGGCTAGTGTTATTCACTATCACTGATAATAGATTACTGCACTAGTCACCAGTAACTGATCGCATGCATGTATTCACACAAGTAGTAACCGAAGGTATATCATATATCACAGGCCGAAATCAAAAACAGGTACATAGACACATTGGCTCAGAAATAAAAATGACAATCGAGGACCTCCCAGTCAAAAACAAGGGAGGGGAAACACAAAAATATTCCAAAGCATACACAAAGCCATCACTGTACAAAGGTATCATCAATCCCCTAGACAAAAGCTTGGAAGAGCGGCATAAGGCTGCAAAAACTGTTGGTAGTACACAGCTATCGCATAAAGACAACATCTCCATCGCGGTTCAAATCGAAATGTCTTAGACTACTCATCGTCGACAAAGTTGTTCGCTAGACGGCCGAAAATCGGGACCTCGAAGTGCTCGAGCGTGTCAACTGGAGGTGGTTAGTACTGCTGATGTGATGTGTCTTGATTATATAGGAGGCTTACCGTCACGGTATGCGCGCATGCTCAAAAAGCCGATCAGGGCGATATCGCACAGGAAGAAGAGCCAAGAAAAGAAGCTCGACCATGAGAAAAGCAGGTGAATTATCTGGCCGTAGTTAGCAATGATCGATGTGGACCGAATGTGCGCTGGGACTTACAAAGATAGCCGTAAAGAGCATACTCGACTGCCATGCGTGGAAGCTGCTACAAGTTAGCACGATGCACACATCCCACATCGCGATTCATTCCAAAGTCTCCATTGTCCCGAAAAGAAGAGCTTATACACACCGCACGTAATCACTCTTATGTTCAACCAGCAAAAGAAACACCCCACCCGCCGGAGGCAGAAGCAAATATGCCAGCATAGCTTCGTAATCCATCCGGATAGGCAGGCTCGTCTCAAAAGCCCCCATATTCCATCGTCCACTCTCCACGTCGTTCCCAAATCCTGTGTTTCCGAGTCCGCTGGTCGCGATGGGACCCGGGGGCGCAAAGTGGCCCGGCGATGCGACACCGGGGACCGGGGGCGATCCGCGAGGCGAGCGGACGTTGGGGGGGGACTTGGCGCCCGGTAGCGTTGGCGAGAACGCCCGCTCAACCTCGGGCGACTCGTCCTGGTAGGGGGCGAAGTTCATTGCGCGTAGTGGGAGTGGCACGAAGAGCGAATATGCAGCATTTGACGCGGAGTTGGCGCGGAGGCTGTAAGTCGGCGACGGAGGCGGAACGGTGAGCTGCTCCTTATCGGTTATCGCGTTGTCTTATGATGCCTCAGGCATTAACTATCAGTCCGTCAAGAACTCGCCCGAACTGAGATAATTGTTTACACTCACACGATAGTTGACTATAGTGGCAAGGAAAAGCAATGGAAAATAGAGTGAAGTAGGGTAAATAGAAGTCATCGCTTGGGTATCATGCTTAGATCTTCATTTGGTCTCATATAAAACATCATCAAATGGTAAAAGTTGTACACGAAAAAAAGCTCCACCTAGGTCCAGTTCGCATTCGCCTACTCTCTGCCCCGACCACGCGTAACCCCAGAACCCCGGGCAATACCACTGACAGGTCGTCGTGTCGTCGTCGTACTACCTCGGGTTGTCGACGACGTTGTGGTTCTTGATGCGCCGGGAGCTTTGTAAGACACGCTTGGGGTTCGTCCCAAGGTGCTTGGGACCCTCCCCCGGGTAGTGCCACGCGTACCACGGGCAGTCGACCCTTGCGCCCGTCTCCTTTCTTCTTCCTGCGCTCTGCGGGCCACGGCTTCCCTTTGCTGCTGGAGTTCTCGTTCCCGTCGTTCGGCGGCCTGCTGCCGAACCAGTTCCTCGCTCTCCATGTCGGCTGCATCTTGGACGGCGCCTTGCCAGTTCGGGTTGAGGATAAGTCGTTGATTATGTTCGGTTTGTGATAAAATGCGGGTCCATGTATTGAGTAATGTCGACGCAGAGTCGACGGTACGCGAAACGGTCTGATTCGAAATAACAATTAGCAAGGACTTGGGTTCATCTGACATTTGATTGCCCATTGGGAGTGGATCTGAATTGCCATACATCCATGTTACCCTTGGCGCAATCCAAGCTGCCCAGAAGGCCCTCAATGACTTCATTGATATGGCGGACACTCCGCAACTCGTTCTGGAGCGCGGCCTCACGCGCTTCTTGACGGTCAAAAAGAGTCCCCGAGTCGTGGGAGGTCTTGGGCGGGGGGGTGGTGCTTTCTTCGACGGGGGGAGTCCGATTCTGTTTCTTGGTTCCACGTTTTGAAGGTGAGTCCCAGAGATCCTCCGTGTCTTCATCGGAGAGCTGGAGCCTCTCCATTTCCTCCGCGGTACTGCGAAACGCCATGGTGGGGGACAATAGCAATTATCGGTGAGGGGTTGGTGGGATGGAGAGAGATAGAGTCAAGTAAACAAACAAATTCACTACTACCCCAGACACGTGCTAATAATCACCCAATGGTGGGGACTGATCAGCCTGATGACGATGGAGGGATTAGGTGTCAGACAAGAAGAGTTAGTTGTTGAATATAATTAGCATTGAGTCGAATCTGGTGGTGTGAGTGGATAAGATCAATGATGGATGAATCAAAGGAACATTGAGGTGGGTCTGATTCCTGCTGTATAATTGGAGCAGCCCCCTCGCTTTTAGCGTCGGGCATTATTGGCGTGGCTGGTGAATAGTGCAGGCTTAGCGCCGTTATGCATTCCGCTGTTCATCGCCCGCCCAACTCATCATTTGTGTTTCCTCTCCTCCACTATCGTCTTATCCCCATCTTCAATCAATCTCCATCATTCCACTTCCCTGTCATTCAATTGTTTTATTGACTTTGATTATCTGCTCGATTGGAATTCCACCTTTCTTTGATATCTATTGACTCTGTTCATCAGTTTTTGTTTCTTGATTAGGCGCCCTTCGGTCGGATTGGTGCACACGCGCGTTTCCTGCTCTCCCTTGGCTCGGCGTTCGCCTGATTGCTCGAACCACAACACCTGGATCTGGAGGCTTTTTGGAAGGATTCAGTTCAGACAACAGTGGTTTAATTGTATCCAGAATACTGGGTATTGTGAAGGGTTCAGCATCTTTGAAATCAAGGGTTCAATACTCGACTCAATATGGCGACCACACCACCGCCGCCGTCGCCGTCAACCTTGCGATGCCCCCCAACTCCACGACACGGTGCTGGATATGATCAGTATGAGCCGTACTCGACGCGACATTCAGCCAGATTAGCAAGCCAACGGACATCGCGAGACAGAAACACGACTCCCCCGCCTAGTTTTCCGTCCCACGCGCAATCGAAATTCAAGGCTGGAAAGAAACAAAGCGATGCTGAGCCAGAGACTCTGTCGCCCCCCAAATCTGCTCAGACCTCTCCCAGGAAGAAGCGGCTGGCCCGTGATGACTCTTCCACCATTCCCTATTCACTGGGCGGTCCCTCTGGCCTTGACACAGACCCCTTCAGCTCAGACTCTCTTCATTCACAGCGTCTTCTTCACCCACACACAGCGACAATGACTGAGGGAATGCTTCCCACACCAGCCAAGACCCCCAGGAAAAAGCCAGTTGGAGACGTTGGAACCACTGCCCGCTCCCTCTTTCCCCCCAGTTCCAGCACCGGTCGCAAGAAAGCAAAGAAACACACAGGCTTCTCCTTGGACAGTTTTGAAGAGAGCGGCCCTAGCGGAAATCAGATCCAGATCTACACCGATTCCCGCGACCGGATTCCTGAAGTCGCTCAGAGCGAAGACAATCCATTCTCCAAAAAACCGGCACCCAACATGCCAACCACACGTTCTTCGAGGCGCAGAGATGGTGGAAAGCGGGATAAAGAGGTCGACGAAGCCATCGATCGTGAGGATGGCATGGTCTATGTTTTGTAAGTCACTCTTCAGGAATGTGTTCCCTATCGTCAATACATGAACTAACGTCCCCTGCAGCCGAGGCAAGAAGACTTTCCGCAAGTTCCACGAAGAACCCCAGAGCGAAGAAGAGGATGAAGAAGATGACGATCTGGGCCTGCTAGCATCCCGCCCAGATCTCATTGATTCGTCCGTTGTGGCTAACATTCGCCCTCTGACTCGTTCGTCGATCAAACCGCGGGTGCTCTTCCCGAGGAAGGCCAAGCATCGCATGCCACCAGCAACCCACGACGACCACGAGGAAGAGGCGGCTACGGATATCGAAGACCACGCCGTGGCTACCGACAACGAGAATGCAGACAGCAGTGATCATGTGGCGGATGTAGACATGCCTCAGCGTGCGGAGACCCCGACCTTGGACTCAACCATTGAAACCCCCGAATCTCCCGGCGCGACAATCCGTTCCCTACGTCCTCGGGGCAAACGCGACATCCTCGAAAGCGGCGAAACGCCTACCGCAACGACAGGGCAGAAGCGCGGCAGTCCCTTCGATGGCTGGCTGCGGAAGAAGTCCACGCCCGCTGTGGCAGCTTCCAAGGCCAAGAAGCGGGATGCCGCCGAGTCCTCAGGCAGTCCCATCGGGCCAGCGGCCAAGAAGACGAGGAGCACCCGGGCTCATGCTGCATCATAATCGACTGTCTTTACGACTCTCTATCTGCTGTCATTGAGGAGCAGCGAGCGCATTTTTGTTTTCTTTCTCCATCGTTGACACATACGGACGACCCGACATTTCCCAAGACTGGACGAATTTTTTTTCATGTGTTATTTTCATCGTTACTTTCATTTTCCTGTTTATCTTTTTATCCTCTTCGGTACCAGTTTCGAATGCTTACGCTTGGAGTTTGACGTGGTTCGATCTATCTTTGCGTGGGACTCACCGTACCCCAAGCCTCTTCTTCTGCTTCTCCAGGGCTTTTGACCCGCAGACTCGAACAGCTATGGGCCGGTTGACATGGGTATGGGAAATTGGACGGGTACTGGCATTCAACTAGCTTCAAGGCAGGCATTGTCTTCGGATGGAGTTTTCCTCTCTTTTTGTCTGTTTATTTCCTTTCTATTGTCTGCTCTCGCTGTCGCTGCTACGGCTGTAAGAGGCTGTCACGTTTCTTCTTTTCTTTTTTTTTTAATTCTTTTTTTATCAAATAGCTTAGGAATAGTTAGATACCAATGAACACGAAATTGCGATGTCATTTCCTTTTTTTCTCTATCTTTCGGTTCTTGTCACCCTTACCTGCTAGACCATTACATTTGTTACATTGCAGGTTATCTACTGTGTGTGGAAGCACTAAGCTAAGCTAGATATATAAATAAGAGAGCAAAACAACACACAAAAGTAGATCCCAGCCTGAAAGTAAAAGCAAGGAAAACGGAAGAGAGAAGTAAGAATAATTAAGATGAATGATAAAGATAATTAGAATGATACACAGCCCAGCTAAGAGTACCACTCAAGGCCAATCGAGTCGTCCAGCTACCTATCCAGGTAGATATGTATCTATCGCGCTCTACCTAATGTAGGGAGGTACAATAGACTCGGGTCTGCAGCCAGAGAAAAGAAAACAAGCAAAAAAGATCACAGATGGTCAGTTGTCTAGTACAAAGAAGTAAAACGAAGGATCAACGGACGAGCGGTTCAAGGACAGTGTAATTAACTTCCACAAGTGGCCTTTCGATATATGTGTCAAATGGAAAAAGGATACAGGGTTCTTCGTCGTGACAGCATAATGATAGTAATAGGAGATAATGAAGTTTCTCTTTTTCTTCTTCTTGATTCTATGATCATCTTTGGTCCTATCCCATGGTTTTTTTCGTCATTATCATTTGACTTCGTCGTCTAGGGTATGTGTATGTGTGTATCGGGGGGGGGGAGAGCATAATTGATATGGAAACGCAACGGCAAGTAGCGCGCCTGATAAAAGAAACAAGAGTGAGTGTCAGATAATGTCTAACCCATCGTCATCATCATCATCGTCATCATAATTATTCTTCGTGACAGTCGCATCAGACACTCCACCAAGACTGTCTCTCCCAGCCTCTTTGATGCCCTTGGAAGTAATAAACCGGGTCTTCTTGACGCCGCTATTGCCATGCGGGCGGTCGCCGTCGTGGGCGCGCTTCAACGGACTCAGTTTCACCGTGCCAGCTTTGCGGAATCCTGTCAGTAGATCTTTGTTTGCCTGGCCCTGGGTCGACGACGGGTCGGCCTTCTCCTGGGATGAGCGTGGGGCTGATGATGAGATGTTCTCGGCGTTTTTGGCGCGGAGGTATTCTGCGCCGACGCCGCCTGCGCGGGACTGCACGAGTCGCTGGGTGATTTCGCGTTCGCGCTTCTGCTCGGCGAGTTTCTTGCGACGTCGTTCCTCTTTGCTTTCGAGGCCCCGGCTCATCATGCCGGCGGCGATGAACGGGTCGTCGTGGTCAGCGTCGATAAGACTGGCTGGGGACTGGCCTGACTGCATGTAGGACGGCCCGGCGCCGTTGCGGAATTTGGGAGCTGGCGCGACGTAGTATGTAGACTGGGACATGCGGTCATATTGGGGGCCTTCGGGCTTCAACCCGTTCTTATAGCCCCCGCGGCCTCCTGACCATCCTCTCTTTCCTCCTCCGGCATTGCCTCCGTCATCGAAGAAGCCGGTCCGCGCACCGGAGCGTCCGCCTGGGCCGAACATTCCGGGGCCACTGTTGACGCCCATGCGTTGGGATTGGGTACGACGGACTTGGAGGTCAAGATGGAAGTCGCAGAACTCTGTCTTGCGGCCGTCCACCCACGACCTGCACGTTTTACCGTCCTTTCTGACGGCCTTGCAGAACCCGATATCTTGCGCGTTCCCCACCTCGAGAAGTTTGTCATCCGATGAAGAGATGTTGAGGCTAAATTTATTTGTATCCAGCTTGTGTTTTGGGGGTGGCATTATTGTCGGGTTTAGGATGGCAATGAGCATGCCCTCGGAGATTCGGTAGTACCGCGGGAAAGCTGTGTCGAAAAGGAACAAGTCGATGGACCATTTGAGATCAGTGAGCGTAATGACCATATACCTGCTGGTGTTATTCAACCCGTCGTCGAAAGTATCAGCCTCCTTGGTTGAGTTATTTCGCCTATCTTTGATTGCCTTGGGTTCGGATTTCGACGCGACGATGCCAAACACGACGTAGTCTGTATCAATCTCCTCGGGGAGCTCGAAGGCGGGACCTTTAATAGTACGTAGAAGGTCTGGGATCTTCAGGACCTTTTTATCAGCGAGGGTGCGGTTGAGAAAAGAATGAGGTAGGATGCGGTTGGAAAGGTGTATCCCAGAGAATGGTTCGAATTTCGACGAGTCCGGTGCTTTCTCTGGGGCGACTGCATTGCCATTGGCGTACTCCCCAGACGAGCTGCTTGGAAGACTCGGTAGCGCTTCCGACTCAGACTTGTTGCTTCGTCGATGAAAGTAAGACCTCGGCTCCCTGGTGTCTTCGTCTTCTTTGCGCATGCTCGGGGAGGTGTGACTTCTTTTCAATGTCGGGGGTTTCATCTGGTTGTATGATCGCAGGACATCATCGCGACTGAAGCTCTCCGCCTGTCGATTTCTCGTCGGTGACCGCACAGGGGAGCCAGCCCTCGCCTGGGCCGTTGCTTTGAACCCTTCCACTTCCGCTTTATCAAACTGAAAGGCAGAGCTCCTGCTCGCCTGGACTCGCTCCGCACGATCTCTCCGGGCCCTTTCTGCCTTCTCCACGTTCCTCCCTTCGGCCATCCGTTCGCTGAAGCTCTTTGGGCGATTTGCGTCCCCACCTGCGGTCATGGAGGCCAAGATATTGCCCGAGTGGGACACGAAATCGCCGCGGTTGCCGGTCGTGCTTGCTGGCCGGGATCCCAGTCTGGAGGCCGGTGGGCGCTTGAGAGACACCTCGCCGCCCCTTAGACCTTTGTCGATTCCAAGCAGATACCTGCGCGGGGACACTGGGTCTGCTGACGGGGGCGGTCGTCTCGTCGGCGACAAAGGCACCTGGACTGGATCTGGCGATCGCCGATTGCCTGGTTCTCGGGAAATATCGTTTCGTGAAGAACGCTGTGGTGAACGGAGTGATGCCCGGGAAAAGCTAAAGGCCGACTCTGGTCTAGCCAGCGCGCTGCCATCCTCAGGCACGCTAGACCTGGGGGTCCCTGGCCTGTCGCGATCCTTCTGCAGTCGCTTGAGCTTCAGTTTCGCTTCGATGGCCGCCAGCTTGAGCTGGAGAGTTTCCTCGTCGTCCTCCTCGTCATCGTCTCCACTTTCCACGCCATCACTCAGGAGTTGCCTCGCCTTGTTCCGGAGATTGGGGGTCGTGGCTGAATTGCGCAAGGGCGACCCAAGAGTCTCGCGACGGCGCTGCATTTCCTCGTACTTTTTGCGACCGCTGGGGGAGCTCAGAAGGGCGTCTCGCGGAGACTGTGGTGGCCACGAGGGTCCGGACACTGTAACCACGTTCATAGTCGTCAGTCATCGGACAGGTGTGTTCGCGGAAGGGTCAGTCCGGTACTCACTGTTGCGGATCGCGACCGATCGCGCCTAGAACAAATCCTCCGTAATACAAATCCTCCGTAGTTCGAAACCGTATTCGGCGATTATGCCACTTCGTATAGGGCTAGTGTTGCGCTCCGACTTGCCATGCTCGATTGGCCAGTGACGCGGGGAAAGACCGACGGAGAAAGAAAAGATGGAATCTGGGCGCGGTGTCCGTCGATGGTCCAGCGGTCGTGTCACCAGCGCAATAATAAAATCATGGAGAAGCAAGGGAGGGAAAAGTCGGGGTCATAGCAACCAGGACCGAGTTGCACAGATTCAACAAGGTTGATCTCATGCAAGTACACAGAAATCGAGACAGCGTTTGCAGGTTCAACAGAGACCGAGCGGGAAACTGATTGGCCTGGGGCAGCGGCGCGTCGCGTTGTTAATGAAATGAAACGGAACGCGTCGATCATTCCGCTCTCTCTCTCTCTCTCTCTATCTCTCTTCTCTCTCACCGTCACCTCCGCCCCCCTGCAATTGCAATCCATCAATTAGACTACGAAGAAATTCTAATTGACCCAAAATGCCGCGAACACGGTCGACTGCGCCCGCTAAACAAACGGAGTCCGACGAACCTTCGCAGACCCAGGCAACCTCTCCTCCCGAACCACCCAGCAAAACCTTCATTCTCCCATCCTCCGCCAGCGACGATGCCCGGTTTATCATGCTGCCCAACCCGCGGACAGCGGAACTCAATCGCTACTTTTTCTGCCCGAAATTGGGCATGTACGAGTTCACCGTGATCCGATCGACCCCACAAGCGCCGCGGAGTTTCCTATTCACGCAGAAATCCGAACAGACGACGAAAGGAACGATCGCAAAAGCGGCGGAGTTGGCGGTCGCGACACCGATTGACATGATGTTCTTCGTGATTCCCTTGCTGGCACCCACCTCGTCTTCCCAGACGAAGGGGCTCTTCCAGCCCTTGGACGACATCATCGACTCGCAGGACGAGCTCCCCAAGCACCTCCGCCAGGTGTTTTACAACGATCTCTTCAGACCCGTGCTCGAGAGTCGCGCAGAGGCTATTTGCGACTCGGTGGAGGCTGGGGATGAGAAGATGCTTCGGTTTAACGAGACCAAGCTCCTCAAGGAGCTGATCGTCAAGGCCGAACGGATGGTCGCCCAGGGACTCCCGGCTAGTCTGGAAGAGCGCTTCATCCGCCAAGCGTTGGCTACGCCGTTGATGTCCGTCAAGCGGGAGGATGCCTCTACTAATGCCGCGTCAACGCGCAACGGCGGAGAAGGAGGAGAAGAGCAGGATCCCAAAGACACGCCGTCTGCGACGACGGCCACAGACTCGCCCTCCGATACCACTCCATCAACTCCGGCAACCGAGCAACTCCCTGATAGCTCCACCCCCGACAACATGGCACATCTCCTACGCCTCTCAACAGCCCTGTCCTTCATGAAAGACTCCTACCTACCCAAAGCCCTCTGCGCCAGGATCGACGAGCTACTAGGATCATCAGATACCCCTCTAGACTTCAATCCCCTGCAAGAACACCTCAAGCAATTAGTCAGTCTCCGCAAGGAGGCCCTCGCGTCGCGGTCAGCGGGAGATTTCACCCGCAAGCGCAGCGCCGACGACGACGACGACGCGGCCGAGTCCCGGGCCGAGACGAAGCGCCGCAAAGAGGAAGAAGAGAAGAAAAAGAAAGCCACGGTATCGCGCGGCGTCAAGGACCTGAAAAAGGTTGACACGTCCGGCATGAAGAAGATGAGCGATTTCTTTACCAGGTCGGCTGCTGCGAAGAAGAAGACTTGAGTGCGTCTCTGTTCGACTACCGCTAGAGCAAACACCCGAGCGGCCCCAGTACTCGCGCGCTACGAGTCGTGTGCGCACGGAATCAACGGGCTTTTGATGCAAAAGAGAATATGACGCCCCAGACTGTCGGGTGCACCCGTGCAACCTGCCCATCATGTCGGGTCCATAACATATACAGGCCTGATCCAAGCCACTTGAATGCCATTTCAGCCAGGATACCAGCCAGGGGCTTTATCAACCCGACAGGAAGGAGTCGAATACCCGCCAGAAATACTTTCATGACTAGGCTGGGTCTGACACGCAACACCTGGGATACGACCTGTACATATTGTATAGATAGATCCAGGGTCAAAAGGGCAGTCCGGTCTCAGATCCAGGACAAGACATTTGACCAACCCATTAGGAATTATATACCCATGAACCTTCCATCTGCACACAATCTTGCTCGTCAAATCAAACCTCTAATGTAAAACCAACTGTAATTTTCCATGAACTACACTGTTATACGCATAACATGAATCTACCACGCCCATTCAACCATCAAGCGTTCGTACAGTCACTACTCTAGATAATACATCTACTGTTATGAAACAGAATCAACGCTGACATAGGCAAAGCCCGCGTACATTCAATTGGTAGGTAGTCATTAAAATAAACAAAACAGGGTGCGTAGCAGATCTGCTAGGGTCTCATCTTCGCTCTTGATAATTTGGTTTTCCATCGTGGGTTTCTTGTTCAAACGTCGACTTGCGTGATTGCGGCGCCCGAGATCCTACAAGGAACGGATCGTTAGTCAGGGTTCAGATATACTAGAAGTAGGGAGACATACAAGAACGACCCGTTCGAGGGCTTGCTGATGACCATCGCCTGTGCGAGCTTCTCCTCCGAGATATCGGGGAACTTCTTCAGGTAGTACTCCTCCTTGAGAGCCTTGGTGACAGCCTCGACCTTCGACTGCGGCAGCATGTGGACGGTGCAGCCGCCCCAGCCGGCGCCCGTCAGGCGACTGCCCAAGGTGCCTGCGCGGCGGGCAATGGAGCAGATGTCTTCGATCTCGGGGGCGCTGCAGTCGTAGGCGTCGCTGCAGGACTGCTGGGACTCGTTGAGCAGCTGGCCCAGGTAGTGGATGCGCTTCTCGTCGAGGGTGGACGCGTTGGCCAGGCAGGCTTTGAAGTCCAGCACGCGGCGGGCCTCCTTGAAGCAGTGCAGGGCGCGCTGGCGGAGGAGGAATCGGTCGGCCTGTACGGGGAAGGAGGACAGGTACTTGGCTTCGAGGTCGGCGACCGTGATGTTGAGCTTTTGGGCGATCTCTTCGCGCGTGTAGCCCTGCTCCTGGGGGAGGAGCTCCATCGTGGCCTGGATGACGGAGTCGATCTGGTACTCCAGTGGGTCCTGTAGGCGGCCTTCCTTGCGCATGAGCTCCTCGTGGAAGTTCCGCAGGCTGTAGCCGAGGGAGCTGTTGTCCTTGGGGAGGGTCAGGCCGAAGTGCGCGGCGAGGACCACGGCGGCGAGCGTGCACTCGGCGACGCGCAGGTTGTAGTGGCGGGGGGCGGTCACGGCCTTGTCGGAGGCGACGAAACTCTGGGCCATGAGGAAGGTGATCTCCTCGGAGGCCTTGGGGATGGAGACGTGCTGGACGGCGAAGGTGGGGAAGAACTGGGTGTAGAGTAGGTATCCGCGACGGGAGAAGATGGAGGCGGCCTGGTCCATGCTGTGATGGGTGAGCGATGATTTGAGTTGGAGTATGCATGAATAGGGTTGGGTACTTACCCGCCAGAGTACACGCCCACGGCACGCTCCGACACCACCGCCAGGTCCAACAAGTCCTGCTTGGACACGTTGTGGTTGTTGGCCTTCATGACCGCCAGCGCACTCGAGCACACAAACGCCGCGCTACTGGAGATCCCACCGCCGGGGGGCACATTACCGTCCACCAGCACCTCCATGCTCGCGGGAACGAAGGAGCCATCGGAATTCTGCTTGCGCAAGAACTTCAATGCACCCAGGAGGCCGGCGCGGAAGTAGTTCACCCACTCGTGCTTCTTGGGGTCGATCACGATATCCGTGTCGCGGGGCACGGTGAACTCGCGCGTGGGGAACTTGTCGGGGTTGACGTTGGCGATCTTGACCACGGTCTCTGAGCCAACCGAAGGGACGACCTTGACAGCCATGATCACGTCGACGCTCACGGCGGTGGGCAGGACATCGTACAGGTTGTAGTCGATGTGCTCGCCGATGATGTTCACACGGCCGGGACTCCGCGCGACAAAGTCGGGGCGGTGACTATACTCTTTGGTAAACTGGGAGACCAGGCCATTGAATCGAGCGACATGTTCGGGGGCCGCGGACGTGGCCGAGGCGTCATCGGTCGCGTAGACCTCCGCGATCGATTCGGTCTGGGGCACGAGTTCCTGCGGGGCAGTCATGGCGGGGTAATCAGACACAGTATGGGGAGTTGGGGAGTTGGGGAGAGTAAAAGATAGGAATGAGATGGAGTGAGAAGAAACGGATGGGATGAAAGAAAAGAAGGTAGTGAGAGTCCCCAAGAACCAAGAAAGAAAGAAAGAGACAGGCAATAAAACTCAAGGAGGATGAGATTGAGTAAAAGGTGGGGTGGTAGCATGTCGGACGGAGTACAGTGTTGCAGTGACTGCTCCGCACCACCAGGCGGGATGACCACTCAGGTGCGCTCGGCACCGACGGACAGCCCCGTTTCGGCGTGGAAATGCCCTGGCCTGAATCAATCCCGCATTCTCCCTGTCTTTGTTCACCGGGACTCCGAGTTTCCCCAGCTCAACCGGGCCGAGAGTTTATAGTCCCCAACAATAGGATTGATGATATGGGGAATGGGGAATTGACAGAGAACACAAATGAACAAAAATAATCCTATAACAATAACAACATCATGAGAATTAACAAATCAACAGCAAAGTGACATAAATGAGATGACATGAAATGTAAAGAAAAGAAGAAAGATGGATGCACGCGGTCTCCAGCATTCCTGGCTAAATTGGGAACAATTTAACCGAAGCCAGAACCATCAACTCGACTGTATCAATGGCTAATCCACGATCGATCTACTTCTCCATGACTTGCACTGGTAGACCACTTATTAGAAAATCGTATAGTCAACACCCTGATATGGTGATCCAGATCTGAATGAAGACCGATAGATCTGTTGTCCGTCTATATTTGTCGACCCACTGACTGTATGGTGACCCTGTATCAACTGGAACGCTGTCAAGCAATACCATCTCCCCCTTCAATGACATTGTCGTAAGTATGGAAACTTTTTTGACGCCGCCTACCTAGACTGAATATAAGGACAGAGTATCCATATCCTCCGGAGTAACTAAGTTACTCGGGGCAGTCAGACCATCGCTGGACAGTGGGTCCCGATCAGTGTCATGCGTGATCAACCCTCCACCATCCAGGATGATGGGATTGGCATGGAGAGGACGTAAGTAATGGAGTAGACACCATTGGAGTAAGAGCTTGTTCAGATGAGATTCGAATTCGAGGCGCCAACTGCAAGACTTGATTTTCAGTATTGGTTGGCAAACCGGCTCCGGGATCGGAGAGGCTGTTGATTCAAAGACCGTGACTCACACGACCATGCCTTGACCAGGGGGCTTTAATTTTTCATCCGAGGTGACCTTGAGAGAGAGCTGTCGATGGTGTTTAATTGTAGAAAATTGTAGAAGAAGAAAATCATGAATGGGGTAGATTCTAAATCAGTCACAGGAATGTGAACTGACACATTCCGGGCATCTGGGGAGATGCCTCGGCGGTATGTAATGTCATGCTTTCTTTTGATGCAGGCTGATGGTCTAGACAAGATCGTCCGACGGGTTGCAATGCAATCCCTGACATGGGGAGATTCCTTGCATCCCGAAGTATATTTCCGCTAATATAGGTACCTATATTAGTACCTTAAGCTTCTCATTCCAATGACCATGAATCAATATGTTCTGCTGTCACGAGCGACCGCCGAGGATGCGGCCACTCGCTGCCTCAGGCCCCTGCCAATCAAGTGAGGCCCCGAGAGGCCGATGACCGGAGGCGCTGGGCAGTCCTGGCCAATCACGGCGTCGAGATTATCTGAGTCGGACCCGACTAAACCCCTTTGGGTCCAAGTGGAGACTCTTCCCCCGACCCAGTTTTGAGTCTTTTTACTCCCGGCCTGAAGGAGATCCAGCGGGAGGTATTTTTTCGCCGTTGTGATTCTTCATCCTTCAACTCTTCCGCCACTTCTCTCCTCTCCTTTTCCTCTCTCCCCCCAACGTTTCCTTTTCTTGGCCTGGCAATCATCCGCCGCGAAGATGATGCCTTTAAGACCATCGAAGAGCGCCATGCGCGCCCTGCAATATCAGAGGTATATGACCTCCAGCAGGAGAGTCTTCACCTCGGCGTCGATGGCGGCCGCCAATTCGCCCCACCGCTTCGCTACTCAGAAACGAAGCAAAAGCACCGCAACAGCCGCTGCCACGTAAGGCTTCCAATGGCTCTGGAAATCGATCAGACAATGGAGTGAGCTAATGGTGGAATTTTTATCGCCCAGGGAGTCCAGGCCCGTTCCCAGCCCGGCCTTCAACCAGGAACCTCACCGGAATGAGGTCTCGCCGTTGCAATCCCGCAATGTTCCCGAGTTGGACGACTCGTATGTGCTCCCGCCCCGGTGGAATTGATGGCGCGGGAAGGTGGATGGATATTAACCGGTCTGGCATATAGATTCGTTGGCCTGAGTGGCGGAGAGATCTTCCACGAAATGATGCTGAGACTTGGCGTGAAGCATGTCTGTGAGTCATCTCTGTTCAGGTTCCCTCCGTCCTTGCTGGCGGACTCAACGAGATTAACAAATCGGTAGTCGGTTACCCCGGTGGCGCTATCCTCCCCGTGTTCGATGCCATTTACAACTCCAAGCACTTTGACTTCGTCCTTCCCCGCCACGAGCAGGGCGCCGGCCACATGGCGGAGGGTTACGCCCGCGCCTCGGGATTGCCCGGTGTCGTCCTCGTTACCTCCGGCCCCGGTGCGACCAACGTGATCACCCCGATGCAAGATGCCCTGTCCGATGGTACCCCCATGGTGGTCTTCTGTGGTCAGGTCCCCACCGGCCTGATCGGTACCGATTCCTTCCAGGAGGCCGACGTGATCGGAATCTCCCGCGCGTGCACCAAGTGGAATGTCATGGTCAAGTCCGTGGCCGAGCTCCCCCGCCGCATCCATGAGGCCTTCGAGATCGCCACCTCTGGCCGCCCCGGCCCCGTGCTGGTCGATCTGCCCAAGGATGTCACCGCCGGCATCCTCCGCAAGCCCATCCCGATGAACAGCACCATCCCCTCCCTGCCGAGCGCTGCGACCCTGGCGGCTCGCGAGCTGGGCCAGAAGCAGCTCCAAGGCGCCATTGACCGTGTCGCCCGCCTGGTGAACGTCTCCAAGAAGCCCATCCTGTACGTGGGCCAAGGTCTGCTCGCCGGCCCCGGTGGCCCCCAGATCCTGAAGGAACTGGCCGACAAGGCGTGCATCCCCGTCACGACGACCCTGCAGGGTCTGGGTGGATACGACGAACTCGACCCGAAGGCCTTGCACATGCTCGGTATGCACGGGTCCGCCTATGCCAACATGGCCATGCAGGAGGCCGATCTGATCATCGCCATCGGTGCCCGGTTCGACGATCGCGTGACGGGTAACATCTCCAAGTTCGCCCCCCAGGCGAAGCTGGCCGCCTCCGAAGGCCGCGGTGGTATCGTTCACTTCGAGATCATGCCCAAGAACATCAACAAGGTGGTCCAGGCCAACGAGGCCGTGGAGGGCGATTGCGCCGACAACATCCGCCTCCTGCTTCCGCACATCAAGACCGTGCCCGAGCGTCCGGAGTGGTTTGACCAGATCAACCACTGGAAGTCGCGCTTCCCCTTCTCCCTTTACGAACCCCAGGACCCCAACGGTCCCATCAAGCCCCAGTACCTGATCGAGAAGCTCAGTGACCTCACGGCGCATATCAAGGACCGCACCGTGGTCTCGACCGGTGTCGGCCAGCATCAGATGTGGGCGGCCCAGCACTTCCGCTGGCGCCACCCCCGCACCATGATCACCTCCGGTGGTCTGGGTACGATGGGCTACGGTCTCCCCGCCGCCATCGGTGCCAAGGTGGCGCGCCCGGATGCTCTGGTCATCGACATCGACGGTGACGCGTCCTTCAACATGACCCTGACCGAGCTGTCGACGGCGGCCCAGTTCAACATCGGCGTCAAGGTGCTGCTGCTGAACAACGAGGAGCAGGGCATGGTGACGCAGTGGCAGAATCTGTTCTACGAAGACCGTTATGCGCACACGCACCAGAAGAACCCCGATTTCGTGCCTCTGGCCCAGTCCATGGGCGTCCAGGCCGACCGCTGCACCAAGCCCTCCGAGATCGAGGAGAAGCTGAAGTGGCTGATCGAGAGCGATGGCCCGGCCCTGCTCGAGGTCTTCACGGACCGCAAGGTCCCCGTGCTGCCCATGGTGCCCTCCGGCAGCGCTCTGCACGAGTTCCTCGTGTACGATGAAGGTATAGTTGATGCCCCCTCTCCCCCCTTAACCCTGTTGGACAACGTGCTAAATCATTTCAACTTTTAGCCAAGGAGCAAGAGCGGAAAGCCCTGATGAGGAGCCGCAACGTGAAATTCTAAACTCCGTCTCCACCCACACCCTCCTCCCTATTCGCCTGCATCCCTGATGACCGACCCCCTGTCGCTGTACCGATGATTTTGTAGTCACAAAAGTGCCCTTTCCCCGGACTTTTTTACCCGTTGATATCCATGGCGTTTCTGGCCGGTTCTCAAAACGCTGATCTGGTGCCCATATGTACCCACACTGACATGCAACCGCCCCTACTTGTGGGGGGGGGAAATAACGCCGAACTCCAACCGTGTGGGGCGACGATTCGAAAGAAAGGACGAAAAAGTAATAATATAACCACGGCTTTGTTTTTTTTTTTTCTAAATTTCTTTTCTTCTGTCTTATATTTTCATTTACACGCTGGGAATGCATTGCCGGTTCCAGTGGCATTGGTGGTATCATTGCCAATCTCCCTACTGTTGCTCTTGCACCGCGGATGTTCCTGTCTAGCGTGATGACCAACTTCTGCAATGGTTCCTAGGAGAACAATTTGCTTGTACATAAGTCTTACCTTTTGGTCTAGCTTGGCATTATTTCAGGATCTTGTACAATGTACATTTGAGGACGTGTTTTCCCTTCATACTTCCGTTGCATCAATTGTCGATCATGGCCTGCAATCCATCATAGTCTGGAATTAGTAGATACATTCCACGATATTCCCCCAGTATTGCATCAGCCCTATCGCCCCCATTGGAAAGGCCAAGCGTTCGTGCCCCGCAGCCACTCACGTGAGCGGCACCTGACTGACGTCCGAGGCGAATCCGGCGTTCTATTGGTCGCGATTCATTTTCGCACCTCCAAAAGCCGCGGTCCGTTTCCGACTTGATCTGGTTGGTGGTGAGAAAGAGCCTAAGGTAATCAATCCTGCCTGCAAGAAAGTTACTGCTCTTTCTTTCATCCATTTCCCGGGCTTCCTCTGCTCTTTTTCAACTCTCCCCCATCCAACGCCCATCCTTATCCCTTTCTTGGTTTGGATCGTTGACCATTTCATATTTCCCGGGACCATTACGTCTAGGGTCTTCACGGGCTATCTCTATCGCTAGCTTGCCCCGCAGGATGTTGCGCTCGGTTATCTGACATCTAACGCATTCCCATTTTCGCCTCCCAGCTTTATCCCAGTCGTATCCTCTTCGTTCGATCCGTACACCATGGCCTCGGTGCCAGGATATTCGGCGACAACGGGTCGCCCGCGAACGGCCGAAAGCCCGCGATCGAGCACCCGCGATGACGCAGTACCGAGATCGGAGTCGAGTAGTGCACCACCGACAGGATCCCTCGAGGATCACGAGACTGTATTCCTCAACAAACACCCTTCGAGCGAAGATAACCTGGCCAGCGGCAAGCCCCCGGCCGCCAGCTTAACCACCGTCGACGAGCCTCGAAAATGCTGGATCTGTTATACCGACGAGACGGAAGACTCGCCTCTGAACCAGGACTGGCGGTCGCCCTGCCCGTGCGCCCTGACGGCCCACGAAGCGTGTCTCCTCGACTGGCTGGCTGATCTGGAGAACCCCCGCTCCCGCAAGCGCAACGGTCACAGTGCGAAGATGGTGTGTCCGCAGTGCAAGTCCGAGATCGTGGTCTCCCGGCCCCGCAGTTATATCGTGGACGTCGTGCGGTTGGTGGAAGGGGTCGCTAGCCGATTAGTCCTGCCGGGGCTGCTCTTCACCGCGGCGGGCACGGTGTGGGCGGGGTGTTGCGCCCACGGGGTATACTCGATGTATCTGATCTTCGGGACGGAGGACGCCCGACACGTCCTGGAAGAGACGGCAGAGGGCACGTGGAATTCGGGACTCAATCTCGGCCTGCCGTTGATCCCCATGGCGTTGATCTTCTCGCGCACTCGCTACGCCGAGGGCCTCCTCCCCGCCATCCCGGTGCTGTTCTTCGCGACGCACAATCCGGGTCAGGAGCCCGACATGGAGCTCTGGCCGCCCTCGGCGACGATGACCTTCGCGGCATTGCCGTACGTGAAGAGTTTCTACGGCGCCCTCTACGACCGACTGTTCGGGCAACTGGAGCGCAAGTGGATCGCCGAGGTCCAGCCCCGCCAGTCGGACGTCAACGAATTCGACGACAACGCGCCGCCGGAACACCCGGAGCCCGACGCCCGCGGGGAGGTCGGCAACGGTCAGATACTGATGGAGATTGACCTGGAACTACAAATGGGCATGGGGAACGAAGATAACGACAACCCGCAGGAGGCGCTCGGGCTGGGCGCGGACAACGGACAGGGCGCGCAGAACCAGCTAGGCGTTGGCCAGAACATGGGGCTTGGACGACGCGAGGATATGGTCTACGACACGGGCAGCCTCGCCGACATCATCCTGGGCGCTCTCGCATTCCCAGCCATCTCGGCCTCCATGGGCGGATTGCTCAAATACGTCTTACCCAAGTCATGGACGGCGGCATCGACCCTGGAGCGCAGTCGTTCGGGTCTCTTGCAGACACGCTGGGGCCGCAGCGTTGTGGGTGGTTGTGTCTTCGTCCTGCTGAAAGATGCACTGGTCTTGTACTGTCGATGGAAGTTAGCGCAGACCCACCGACGACGAAAAGTGTTGAATTACGATCGGGCGAAGCGAGGGTCTGTCGGCGGTAAGCGGTGACTTCCTGGCAAGCAGCATGCTCCTTGATGATAATCGGTATGATGGTGCATTCCCGGCGTTGTGAACCTTTCCCACGTTTATTTCCCCCCTCTTTGTTTTATTCTAGCTCTGTTTGTGCCCCCCTCTATAATGTGCTATTGATAGGTAGTTCCGAGCGTTCCTTTTTTCTTTGTTGTTTTATTGGGTAATCGCAACTCTGACTAGAATGTCACTCTGTAATCAACACGATCCGGAAATCAACGGGCCATGTAAAGGGCAAAAAACAATTTAGTAAATCTATAACAATTATCTTCATGCGTCGTGAATCGGTATCCATACCTCCACCAGATATGTACATGCCCGTGAACCACGCTAAACCAACCTCAGCCGCCCGCCTTCTAAACGCGCGGCAAAACCAAATCTGCCCTCGTCCCGACCACCACCAACCTTCTCGACTCCAGCTACTAAACCAACTACGCCGGTATCCATCAACCACCTCCAATCAAACCAAACCACACAATGCGACCCCTCTCGCCCGTCCTCGCCTCCCTGGCGAACGTCTTCAGGATTCCCATCTCGCAAACCTTGGCCCGTCCGGCTATCGTCCCCGGGCCTGTCACCGCTGCTGCGCAGCCGGCTGCGGCGCGGACGTTTTCGAGTACCAATGCTTTGTTGAAGAGGAAGGGGGGGTTGAAGACTGATCGGAGGATTAGTATGTTCTCCCTTTTTCATCTCTTTACCTTTGGTTCATTCCCATTATCCATCATCAACCCATGAATTCAATCCAAACACATGGACAGAAAAAAAAAAAAAAAGAAAAAAGCAATTCCAATTCATCCACCCTCCCATCACAACACCACAAAAGACAACCCACCCAAATGAAAAATACTAATTCAAGAAAACCAGCCCTAATCCGCTACTTCCTCCACCACCCCCTCACGCCCCGCCCCCTCCGCTTCTCCCGAACCCGCTACCTCCGCCACTGGACGATCCACCGCGCCTGGCAACTCTTCCAGAACCAGCAGCGCCGCACGCAGACGCTGGAACTCGAGCGCCAGTGGCACGCGATGAACGCCGCGTGCGAGGAGCTGCGCACGGGCGCCGGCGATGGCGGCCGGCTGTTCCGCAAGTCGATGAACAAGCGGGGCGTGTTCCGCGATATGTTCCCCATTGAGTATGGGCGGTTGCAGACAGAGACGCCGGCGCAGGAGGGGTGGAATCATGGGTGGGTGAGGCCCGAGAGGAGGTGATCTTTCTTTTTTCTTAAGTTTTCTATATCCGATTGATGTATTGTTTTTGGGGTGGGTGGGGTGAGTGAGTGTGTCTATAGATAGGGTATCTTATTGTCTGTTGGACAGTGTTCTGGCTGGGTCTTTCTTTTTGCTGTGTACTATAATTTATTGTACTTGTCTGTTTATCATATCTGGCTCATGGACTGGTACTCATCTACATCCCTACTATATCTGTAGCTCAATACGAGAATGATGAAATGATAGGTCAAAGTAAAGTAAGTAAAGTAGTAAAGATTGATATAAACACACTGATCGAACGTATGAATGTATTGCAACGATTGCAACGATTGCTTCAAACAAGTCAAAGAAAACAAAGAAAAAAAAGAAAAAACGCGCTAGACGATAAAGAATGTGCGTAAATCAAAGTCAAAGACAAACATAGAATGAAATGAAATGGCGAAATGAGAGTATCATGACAGTTGGTATAATAACGCCCGATAGATCGGAGAAATCATCAAGGAGAGAATTCGGACTGCAACGCGTGCGTATCGAAGAGAATGACCGTTATGGGGGAGCGTATTTCCGCCCAAAAGATAAGATAAGAGAGAGAATCGAATAAGACGTGTTTTCGTACCATATACAGACGCAACGTCGCAAGGAAGAGAAATGACCTGATGTCGGTCGAGAAAGCCTACCCAAACGCCCAATAATGCAAGTATCGATCAACGGCGAGAACGTCGTCGACTTCAGTCTCTTCAGTCCCCCCTTTTTTTTTGTTAGGTTCCCACCAGCGATAGACACGTGGGTTGTCGTGATGGGCTGGCCCAACATCTATTGAAGGCCGGGCGGAGGCGTGTCTCTGACTGGTGGGAGAAAGTCGTTGGAGTTACAATGCGACTTGGATCCATCATAGGACAATGCAGCACGAGCTTTTCCGCTTTTCAAACGTGAGGAGGGCGGCCCGCGTGGCGGCTTCGAAGACGTCGTCGACTCCCTCGCCGGTCAAGGACGAGCACTCGAGGTATTTCCTCGCGCCGAGCGACGTCGAGGTGTCGTTACCTTCCTTGGCCGTGACGAAACGTAGTGACTTCTTCCGCATCTCTTCGATCGCCATGGGATCGTCCCGGAGATCTTTCTTCAAGCCCACTATGATGATCGGCACACCTGGACATCGTTCGTTTGCCTCTTCGGCCCACTGTATTGAAGTAATCAGCCGGAGAACGGATGGGACAAGGGCAATAGGGACAACGGACCTTATGCTTTACATTCTCCAACGAATCCGGGGTGTCGATGGCGAAGCCGATCAAGATGACGTGCGCTTTGGAATAGGCCAGCGGGCGCAGACGCTCGTAGTCCTCCTGTCCCGCGGTATCCCACAAGGCCAATTGGACAGACCGTCCATCCACCCGACAATCTGTTACATAGTTCTCGAAAACGGTGGGGACCTAGGTAGGGGTGGTCAGAGGCCGACGCGCCAGACACGGATGACATCAGGGACGGATGAAATACGAACATAATGCTGCGATAGAAACGTACGTTAGTCCATAATCTATATCTTGCATTGATCCGACCTGTCTCGGGAGGGAAGGGGGAGGGGGAGGGACTCACGGTTGGGAAGTAGCCAAGGGTGAAGACGCTGAGAAGACTGGTCTTCCCACAAGCACCATCGCCGATGATAACTAGCTTTCTATATTGGTTCTAGCGTTAGTTCCGACATCCTAGTTCCGCGAAACGTAGCGCCAGATGGATGGAGGAGAGGAGGGGTGAGGGTGGGATGGACCGCATGCAAAGCGCGGTATGGAACGCCGATCCCCCAGTTGGACCACTGGTGGTTGGAACATCCATGACATGACGGATTTCCGGATCAGGGTCGTCGCACGCACCTTCGCATGACATTGTCGTCACTCTGTTGTTGGGCCATTTTTCACGGCCAAATCGCACGAGCCTGATCGACGATCGATCGAACGATCAATCAATCAATCAACCCCTCAGGAGGAAGATAGGAGAAGATAATAATGTCGAGAAACCGTCGAGCGGAAGAGGGAAATGCGGACAGGTAGACGGGGATGAAGTCAGGGCGCTTGGGTGAGAAGCCCTGAACCGGGGGGTGGACGGGGGGGGGGGGGGGGGGGGGGGGGGGAGGGAGTAGGT